TGTCAAGACTCAAATTAAGGAGCTAACGTTTAACCTAAGACTTTCTCAGAAGAGGTCAAACGAGGGCAAAAATGAGTCTATTGCTAGAAATAATTGGGTCCAAAAAACCTATTTTTACTGGGGACAAGATGACTTGATGCTACTTTAATAACGGCGTGATGTGAAAACACATTTAGCTTACTAATCTCAACAGAAAGGATAAACAGATCATTGTTTGATCCATGTTTCAAACATGCTTCTCTGAATAACTTCTCAATTACTGTATCGAGGCCGCAAAACAACTTAGTTTGGTCACAGGATGTTACAAAAATTTAAATTAAATGTATTTTATCATTCCAAAAAATCTCCTTTCAAGGGCAACAAGTACCTGTGGACAGCCCGGTTACATAATGTAACGTATCATTTTAAGTATTAATTTTAAAAAACATACTTAACATTGCAATTTCTTATGCATTTTATAATTCTAAATCTTAAGATCAGAGACAAAAAAATAAGTTACACAGGAAACAGACAGATTATTAATGCAAAGGCAATAAGTAATAGTTTAATTTGATGGTATATGTTTTCTAACTGTCTGCCTATATGCTATGTGAATACATGAGTGTGTGTGTAAGCATGTGTGTGTGTAAGCATCTTGCCTTGCAGAAGCTGGCAAACTTGAGATGGGCACGCGGCCCAGGCATTGAATCAGCACAATATTACTGTGCAGCCGCGCAGGAGGAGAGAGTGTTTTGTCCGTAAGCCAGCTGAAGCAGAAGAGTGACACTCACCCTGCAGTTTTTGCATCACATTAGCGATGTCCACAGACGACCGACCGAAGTGCCTTGGAGAGGCCATGTCGTCTCGCTGCAGCTGTATGACAAGGTGGTTCACTGATGCTGATGGCACAAGATCCTTCACAACTGTCCTGAGTGGGACATCCCCCCCTCTGCCCCTCCCTCTCTCTCCTTCTCTCTCTATCTTTGTCTTTCTAATTTCACTGCAGGACCAGGTCCAATTGAATCTCAGGTTTCATGCAGGGACAGCAGGTTTACTGTCCAATAGAAGCACTTCTTCCAGTCGTTCCTGAAGAAGAGAAGCATGTTAAGAGAGTTTCGATTGAGGCCACAGCTTTTGTCATGCAGCTATTTCACGACGCTGTTATTGCTCACGATTTATTATTATATTTCATTTAAAGTTTATATTTTGAGACCAACTTAACTGTTTAGCTTGTTTTCTTGTTCACAAGTACATGTTGATGTTGAATGACCCCCCCCCCCCCCTTTAGGGAACTCTATTGTTAACTTTGTACCTTAGAAGTCACAGTTTCTCACAGTGTACCTCAAACATTGAAATACTACAACAATCTGCATGTTTTAATTATTATTTTTAAGCTTTTATTCTAGTTTTCATTGCTGGTGATGTTGTTTTTACCTCTCGGTTGATAATTTTGTGTTTTATTATGCAAGAAGACAGAGTTTGCTTTTTAGTGACTTTCTCATGTATAAATAAAAGAAAATGACACTTCTACATCAAACAATGTACCACAAGAAATACTGAATGTGCCACTTGGGAGGAAATATACACAATGAGAAATGAGGCCATTCAGGAAGCCTTTTCCACAGAAGACATTTTGACATGTTACAGTACGAAAAGCACAGGTGCAATTAATAAAATCAATAACGTCTGAATTCCAATGAACCATTCAGTCACACTGTCTGTCATGGCTTAAAACAGAGTCCTTGTTAATGTTATTTGTGACACCTGTGAAAATAATGTGCTGGAGAACAGGTGATTTACTTAAGACTATCCCCTTTCCCTTATAAATAAATGTGTCAGTCAATTCATGAATTGCTTACATGACAAGTAAGACTCGGAATCAACTTTACTGATCAAGTATGCTGACGCATGCTGGATATCTGACTAAATCGGAAGTAATTCGTTCTCAAGAAGTGCCAAGAAGAAATTTACAGGAAGCCACAAATATAGACATACAGATAAGCAAACATAACCACAAAGATATCATTAAAAAGCAAGTAACATGGACACAAGTAACAGCCATATATTACATACAAGCAAAATGGTTATTAACTAGAGTAGTTAACAATAACGATATATAACAATGGGTTAAAATAAGGAGTGAAACTGTATTTCTTCTGCAAACTGTCAACTCATAAAACCACTAACCACTAACACTTACAGGACAATGAAAAAGGAAGTTACTGTTGAGTGAGAAAATACGAATTAGCCAAAAGAAATGTCCAGGTTAGCCAGCTAGGCACAAACGTTTGCCTGCAACCGTTTCAATACATATGTGGACATATTATTATAAAGTTATTTAATACTTCGTTACAATTTGAAAGAGTTGGACACCTGCATTTGAATGCTTTATTCGCGCCAGTTTAACACCTGCATTTGAATGCTTTATTAGCGCCAGTTTTAACAGGAGAGGAAGTTACTAAAACACCTCAAATTAGCTCCAACTACATTAGAACTAGCGAGCTAGAAAAGCATCACAAAATTACAAACTGAATAGTTAACGCTTCAGTAAGCAGAACCTTAACAACAAACAGGCAAACATGCATCACTTTAAAAATACAAAGTTGCATTTGACATGTCATCTCACCACTTTCAGGACTGCAGACGGGCATGATAACTTTAAAGAGGAAGTGCCTGTGTGTGTGTGCGTGTGTGTGTGTGAGTGTGTGTGTTGACTTGTTGCCAATAGTAACAGTGAAAATGAAACATGGTGGTGTGAAGTGAAGTTTGTAACCACAAGAAGAAGAAGAAGAAGAAGAAGAAGAAGAAGAAGAGGAGCGGCACGCTGCTGCTGCTGCTGGCAGCGAACTGCACAGACCTAAAGGAAGGAGGGGGGGTCGGAAATGTGTGGACCAGCTTCTGTCCTCCTAATTTTTAGGAACAAAAGAGGTCATTCTTTGGGTAAACAGAGAGGAATTCCGGGTATCCCCAACTCTCTCTCTCTCTCCCTCTCCCAGGGTTTGTTTAGGACACTTCACGTTGAGTTTTTAGCGTCTGTGTTATGAATGAAACTACTACAGGATGCTGTAGTTTTGGGGGAAATCCTCCTGTAGCATGAACCTTGCTTTGTCTTTGGCTATTAATTAATCAGGAAGTTCCCTCCTATGTAAAGGGATGGGGGGGGGACCATCTGGATTACAATCAATTTGTTAAGTCATTAATTAAGGGTCACATGTTTATCACTCTGATACACCAGCAAGTCTGCAGTTAAGTATACATGTGAGTGAGTCTTCAAATACATACACCAAAAAACAATAGTCTTGAGTTGTATGCTCAAGATTTCATAATTTTCTGTCATAAATTGGGAATTATTGCATTTTTCTTACTAAATCACCCACGATCCTCTGTGCACAGCAAATACTGAAGATACAAACAGACCCCTCCACCTGGTGCTGAGAACGCTGACTGGACAAATTCAATATATGCAACATGAAAAAAATCATATTTGAGGAAAAGAGCATGAATTCAGTGTGAGCAGCAGAAGCATCAACTCACTCCAGACCTGATGTTGGCAAGTGACTGCAGGGACTTGACTGGGTTTGTACTTTCTCCTCAAGATTACGTAATTAATTTAACTTAAAAAGACACAATGTTCCAAAGGACACGGTGCAGAATATGGTTAAAGTTAAATAAAAGTAAGAAGTTTGACTTCCTGTCTTTATAACGCAGATCATAGTGACCGTGAAACGCTCAAAGATGCAGTCTCCCAAATGAATCTCCATTGTAAGTACTTCAGCGCCACCTGCTGGACGTATTTGAGACATGAATGTATTTCTAGAGAATTTCCCCCATAAAACATTATCTATGGCCTCTTCCTTAAGACAATTGTTTGAGGAGTTAGTTCAAAGTTAAATCCTAAAAACGTGCTTATAGATATCTAATAAAGGCCCTACTTTAAGGCTGTCTTTCAAAAATGTGTCCATTTATTGGAAAGGAATAGTTGAACCTGTATATTCTATCAACTGTTGAGCTGCAGAATGTCAGCCTGAGGACTCTGAGGACAGAAGTGAAGCGGGAACAGTGCAACAATTGAAGGAAATCCCCATTGAGACTGAGAGCTTGATAGTCTGCAGACTCTAGTGGATGCTTAGATTCTCATGGTTCAGCTTATCCAGAACCTTGTCAAGACACTTGGAAACACAACACTTTTTACGTCAGAAGCAAGGTTGTATTTTTAATGGTTGAAGTCTTTTAAAATTGATTCGTAAATACATGAATCAAAGATTACTGGAAGAGGTAATTAACTCGAATCATCCTTTTTCTGCAAAAATCCAAATTAGGTTAATGTCCCATTAAATGGTGGAAATCTAATAATCAGATGAATCCTACCGTTTTGCCCGAGACATGTCAAAACATGACAAAGCAGGGAACAGAATTGCTTCTAATCTCATATATAGCATCTTTAAAATGTAATGAATTATTGCATCCACTGAATTGGAGAAAGACAAATAGAAATAGGCCATAAAGAGCCCATGATGAACCATTCAAATCAAATCAACTCTACCACATTCATAGTCAAAGCATTACACTAAAGCCAATGTGTACAAACAGTAAATCACTGCAATTTCAAAAATATACCTTAAGTTACTGTCAATACTAACTGTAAAGATGTTTCATGGCAGGTTTATTGGGCATTTTGTGGAATTGAACTGTAAAAGTGACCGCAAAGGCTACACAGTGTATTGATGCAAAAGGAAACAACCCAGTTTCCCAGTGTTGTGTCCCACACAGATAAGCAATGCACTTGCTAATTTTAAAGCCAGAAAGGGAAGGAAGCATGACAGCAAAGTTTCCGCCACACCAAACACTGTAGAGGGGGGGGGGGGGGGGGGGGAGAG